TACATTAAAAAAATCAACTATTAAGAGTTCATTTAACAGACACAAACACTTACCTAAGTATGGAGCATACCAATAGGTCAAGTCTATAAGCAGCTCCTTTATGGAAGTTCATAATAATAATAATAATAATAATACCACCACACCCATCTGGTTGAGTTGCCCCAGCTACTCTTCCCTCACAGTTCTTCCAATGGAAACAACTGCCTTATTAAAGTTCCTAGGGGAAGAGGATGGAGCAACATAGGTAAAGCCAACCAAGCCCTGTTGGCTGCCACAGAGTCCCCCACACTCACTTTTTCATTTGTTTATCCACTCAAAATCACATCCATCTGTTTCTCCCCAGTGCTATAACCACATCATAAGTGATTCCCATTTTTATCCTTCTTCACCTGTGGATGGGAAGCATGTCAGTGCAGGAGTAGAGGATTTTGAGTGGACAAATGGCAGGAAAGGGAGGGATTCAGTAGCCACTACACAGCTACTGTAGTTATCTGACTCCAATTTTAAGTCCTGCATGGCTGCTATTCATTCATTTATTTATTTTTTAAAAAATAACCTAGCAGGAAGAATTGTGGAATTGCTTGCCTCATATATTTTGGCCCTGAGCCTAGACATAAAAAGCCTCCTTTCTGCTGAGTTTTAATGGGTTAAGCCAGCAGAGGAAAATTTAATTAATTAATAAGATAGCATATTTCATATTTAATGGGTGTTTTGATCTTGTTGGTTTAAGCCTTTTCCTGCCACAGCCTTCAGGACAGGGCAGATTAAATACTGACATAAGCAAATAATAAAAGAAGAGCTGGACAAGAGAAAATGTGGGAGAAAAGTAAAGGAGAAAAGGTTTTTAAATCCTAGAGAAGGTGAAACCATGGAAGATGGAGCAAGCTTGTTTTCTCCTGGAGGGTAGGACTCAAACCAATGGCTTCAAGTTACAAGAAATGAGAGTCCAACTAAACACCAGGCAGAACTTTCTAACAAGAAGAGGTGTTTGACAGTGGAACAGACTCCTTCAGATGGTAGTGGGCTTCCTTGAAAGTTTTGAAGCAGAGGTTGGATGGCCATTGATCATGGATGATTTAGTTGAAATGCCTGCGTTGCAGAAATTTGGACCAGCTGACCTTCAAGGTCCCTTCAAACTCTACAATACCAAGGAAACAGGACGAAATGACAGTAAATGGGATGGAATGGGGAGAGAAGAGTTGCAAATTTGTATGAAAAGGTGTGTCTTCTTCACTGCAAAGGTTAAAAAACAGTATGCTTTGTATACTACCCATTCAACAGTTTTGTAAGGGTTTTTTGTGTGTGTCTAAGATCTGAGATCCACAACCAAAACTCTCAGCAAGCCTCTTAAACACTTTAGTACCACTTCAGTGTTTGTAATCACTGCATGAGCTGTTTACTGCCTTGTACACTCTTCCACCGTGAACATTATCCCATAATTATTATTTTCTTTCTGTGAAGTGTAGGATGAGATTTGAAACCCAGATCTGCCTGTTTTTGTCATTGAGCTTTGCTGTGTTTAAATTGCATTTGAAGTCCCGTGTTCAGGAGGACGGATAGGTTCTGGAACGTTTTACAGCCTATGAAAATGACGATTCTGGGAAAAGTAGAGTGCTAATAAAGTTAACTGAACCTTCGGGTGATCGAGTGGCAGCCCACTGTGGATTTTTGAGCACCAGATTTTGTTTCCACAGCCCAAACATTTAATGCAGAGTCCAACATGTGACTTAAATATTTCGTAGTTTCCAAGGTAAAAGCTGTGGTAAGCTCTAAGAGAGTTTGTGTACTGGTCCAGTAAACGCTTCCGCTGCGCCACCAGCAACAGCTCTCTTTGCAGAGTATTAATTAAGTCCAGTGCAGAGATTCTTGTTGCAGTACAAGCTTCAGAGTCTCAGCAGCAAAGAAATAACGACACAGGGAAGCCTGTCTTTCCAAAGACAGGTTTATTGCAGAAAGATAACAGAAATACCTCCGGAGCTTTCAGACATTTTTGCTTCACACCCCACAGGCAGAGAAAACAAACACACTTTATATACTGAGCAACTTAACAACTTAACGAGCTTGACTACTTAAAGTCACATGACATTGCTAACTTGCCAGCGTCTTAGGTTTCACACCCTAACACCCCCTCTCGCTGGCAATACAAAAAAACCAAAATTACTTCAGACCCATTTCTTCACAAAAGTTTTCATGCCGCTGAAACCCAAGTGGTTTTGTAAAACCATCAGCTTGATTTTCATGACTGGGACAGTAATTTAATTTAACAATTCCTGCTTTTACCGTTTGACAAACATTTTGAAAGCGGATATCCAAATGTTTTGTACGACCTTTAAACTGCCCATTTTGTGCTAACTTAAGACACGGTTGATTATCACCCCACACAGTGATTGGAGTGATGGCCTTTTCATACATCTCTTGTGCCAAGCATTTGTAAAATTCTAGATCTCTACATAACTCAGATAAGGCACAGAACTCAGCTTCTGTTGACGACAAAGCAATTAGGTTCTGTTTCTTGGATCTCCACCCAATCAGAGAGTTACCAAATTTTATTACACAGCCAGACACTGATTTTCTATCCTTTAAATTTGCCCAATCACTATCTGCCCAACAAGTAATCTGTGCTTGTCCTTCCGAAAACAATTCAAGGCAAAAATCTTTGGTGTATTGTAAATATCTTAACACTCTTTGAATTCCTTTCCATGCATTTACACTAGGTTTCGAAGCTTCTCTGCTGAGTAAGTTAACAGCGTAAGCAATATCTGGTCTACTCCATTGCGAAAGATGAAGTAAGCTTCCCAGTGCTGACTGAAAGATTTCAGCACGCTTGAATTCAGCACTATCCTTGAACTCATTGTCTTTTACAAAACCCATTTCCATTGGTGTTCTAACACCTGCACACTCCGTCATGTTAAACTTTTTCAACATTTGCAATATCTTGCCTTTTTGATTCAGTAGAAAACTGCCATTTTTGGTCCTATCTATCTGAACACCAAGATAGACCTTCACATCACCAAGATTCTTAACTTTGAAGTGTTTATTTAACTCTTTGGCTAGTTTTTTACTTGTTCTTGTGTCTTTGAAGTATAAATCAGGTCATCTACATAAACAAGCAAAGATTCTTGAGCATCTCCTGAACTTCTGAAATATAAGCAATTGTCAGCCTTGCTCCTGCTAAAACCAATGCCTACCAAAACGTCATTCAAACATTCATTCCAATTATGAGCAGATTGCTTGAGTCCATAAATAGATTTATGTAGTTTCCATACCTGATTTGATTTACCAACTTTCAATCCTGGCGGTAGCTCCATATAGAGCTCTTCAGCCAAGTCTGAATGAAGATAAGCTGTAGAGACATCAAATTGATTCACTTTGAACCCTTTCTGAGCAGCAACTGCTAATAGTGCCCGTAGGGTTTCACTCCTTGAAGTGGGTGCATAGACTTCGGAATAATGTAACCCCTTTCTTTGCGTAAAACCTCGAGCTACAAGTCTTGCTTTGTACTCTGGTTTCCCCATCGCTGTTGTCTTTATCCTGTACACCCACCTACAACTTACTGCTTTGGTACCTTCTGGCAGTTTGGTGATGGAAAACACACCCAGTTCTTTCATAGAATTCAACTCCTTTTGCATGGCCTCACGCCACCTACTGGCCTCCTCCTGGGGTAATTGTTCAACCTCCTCAAAACTTTCAGGTTCGCAATTTGCCAAACCAGCCCAAACACTAATAGCTTGGTACCTTTCAGGAGGTTTACCTTTGTTGGTACGCGTAGAACGCCTTAACAGTTCCTGCGATGTTCCTTCAGTTTCCCCCTCTGACCCAGAATCACTAGTCGTCACCTGTTTGTCACTAGTAGTTGTAGAACTTTCTGATTCTGACTTTACACGTCTCTCTTGCTGTACAGGTGAACTTTTAGAACTAGAAGATTCTGACTTTACAGATTTGGGTGAACTAGGCGATTTCTCACCCTTATCCTCAGACTCAAATTCCTCAGTCTGTTCTGGAACTAATACCTGCCCTGGGGCCTGAGTTTCATTGCTGTTCACCACATCAAATAGTATGTCAGGATTTCCATGAATTTTATTCCAACCATCCTGTTCACAAAATTCTGCACTTCTGCTGATTGTGTTTTTCGTTTGATTGCCTTCTACATTCACAAATCTCCAACCTTTTGTGTTTGCTTGATAACCACAGAAAAACATTTCTTTAGACCTAGGATCGCCTTTCCTACGTTGTGCCCTAGGCACCAGCACATAAGCACGACATCCAAAAACTCTTAGATGATCAATTTTTGGTTTTTTCCCAAATAGCATGAAGTAAGGAGTGTTGCCTACTGTGCTATTGTACACTCTGTTAAAAGTATAATTCGCATACAGTGCAGCCTCAGCCCAAAAACGCTGTGGAAGTCCAGAATCAAACAGCAAAGCAGCAATGGCTTCCTGTAATGTTCGAAATTTTCTTTCAGCAACTGCATTCTCCTGTGGTGAATAGGGATTGGTAAGTCTATGAACTATACCTTCCATTTTAACCACGTCTCCAGCGTGTGGTTCACATATTCCCCACCACGATCTGATTGTATTTTACGTACCCTGGTGTCAAATTTACATTCGACTTCTTCAATCCAATCCATCAGGATGGAAGCTGCTTGTGTTTTTTCTTTCAGAAAGAAACCCAACTAGCCCTTGAAAAATCATCCACCAAAATTTGCATAAATCTCGCACCTCCAAGCGATTTGACTGGCATAGGGCCACACACGTCTGTGTGCACAAGTTCAAAGGGTTTCTTGCTTACTCTATCAGATCTAGGATAGTTACATGTCTTAACCTTAGCATGTTTACAAGCACAACAATCCAGAAAATTTGGACAGGGTTTAATGTTACACTCCTCAGCTAAATCTGGCATCTTGCTTACATACTTAAAACATATATGAGCTAACCTTCTGTGTAGTAGATGTGCACAACCTGTATGAGGAGCCTTATTTACACACTTAGCTTGCGCTTCACCTGTTGAACATCTACCTGCTGCTAACTGCTCTTCATCCAAAACAAAAAGCCCATCCTCACAGGGAATTTTAACTAGCTCCTTCCCCTGTTTCGAAATGGTGCACACATCATTTTCAAACTCAACCTTAAAACCACTTTTTACCAGGCATGACACACTCAAAAGTCCATTCTTCATTCCTGGAAGAACAAAAACAGGAAGGTTAGTTTGCAAACAGTTAACATAAATTGTGCCTTTAAGGTTCATTTCTCGTTTACTATTGTCTGCTATAGTCACGGTTTTTGCAACTGGCAATGTCTTGCAGTTCATCAAGCGGCCACAAGATGTCGCTGGAACTAAACTGTGACTTGCTCCACTGTCAATTATCCACTTCAAGGTTTGTTGGCTCCTTTTAGGACTCTTTTGTGCTGCCATTGCAGATAGTCCCTTATCAGCACCTGCTCCCCCTCTGGATCGTTGATTCTTGTAGTTCTCACGTCGTCTTCCCCTGTAGCTCCGGAAACTGGCCCTGGACTGTTGAAATTCCTGTTGCTTTTCTGGACACTTTGCTATCAAATGAAACCTGCTGCCACATCGAAAACATGACTTGCTGGCCATAGCAGACACTTGTGAGGCTTCCTTACAGCTCTGCCTGCTAGTTTCCCCACGCTGGGAATTATCTGAACATCCAACCCTTGGGGTATTTGAATTATCAATACGTTTTCGATGATGTTGATATTCTTGCTCACACAATCTACCAGTCACATAATTCATATTCAGCTGGTCCTCTGGCAAAACCTGTAAAGTTAGTACTAAGTTTTCAAACCCTGCATGCAGGCTGCTAAGCAGAGTATAAACTTTAATATTTTCAGGAAAATTCACACCTAAAGATGACAGTCGGTTGAAATACTCAGTCATCTGTGACGTGTGTTCAACCACACTATCCCCTGGCTTCAGTTTCAACTCATACAAAGCACGTATAATGTTCACCTTCTCTCCGGGCGTGGCTCTATGGTGAATTCGCCTAAGAGCTTCCCAAATTTCAAATGCAGACCTTAAATTTTCCACATGAGGTAATTGGGAATCGTCTATCGATACCATCAACATGCATCTAGCTTTAGTGTCCATTTTATCATGTTCCCTATTCTGAGCATGTGCAGCAGCCTGTTGCTCTGCTGTGGCATCTGCTGCAACAGCCACAAACGGCTTTCGCCTCTGGACATAGTCAGCCCACACTTCTTTGGCTTCCAACCAGACTTGAGCCCTCTTAGACCACTGCACGTAATTTGCAGAGTTCAACTTTGTAAAGGGAACCTGGAAATTTTCCACTGCCATTCTTGGGGTCTGCTGCTACTCCCTCTGTGTGCCCTTTCTTCTTTTTTCCCCTTGGGATTTGTTTTACTCACTTTTCAGACGCCTCCAGCCTCCTCTGAAGCCTTTAAGAGCTGGATTTACGACCAAGCCGGTCTTCTCTCATCCGAAAGCTGCTTTCACTTTCTCTGCACACAATACAGCTGTAGAAACGTAGAAGGATCCATAACCTAAGAGAGTTTGTGTACTGGTCCAGTAAACGCTTCCGCTGCGCCACCAGCAACAGCTCTCTTTGCAGAGTATTAATTAAGTCCAGTGCAGAGATTCTTGTTGCAGTACAAGCTTCAGAGTCTCAGCAGCAAAGAAATAACGACACAGGGAAGCCTGTCTTTCCAAAGACAGGTTTATTGCAGAAAGATAACAGAAATACCTCCGGAGCTTTCAGACATTTTTGCTTCACACCCCAAAGGCAGAGAAAACAAACACACTTTATATACTGAGCAACTTAACAACTTAACGAGCTTGACTACTTAAAGTCACATGACATTGCTAACTTGCCAGCGTCTTAGGTTTCACACCCTAACAAGCTCAACTTGACAAGTTGCCCACAATCACCTCTTTCAATTTACTGGTTAAAAATGACTTGCAGTTGGAAGCTGAGCAGGAGAGAGAAAGGTTTTTTTTGTTCTTTTTTAAAGAAAAAAGGTTTACATGGGGCAATTAGAAAGAAAAGAAGCAAAAGCTCTCAATGCAGTGTTTATATGATATCTGGGAATGGCGAGCTTTTAAAAGCAAGCCCCAAATGTAACAACAATAAGTAAAGTAGCCAAAATGCACACAGCTCTCTAATAATTGCAATCTGCTACACCCCCTGTGTAACAGATATAATTATGTTAACAGCTTTCCTACTCAAGACACCATACACTCCTATTATGAAGCCAGCTTCATTTAATTAGCATCATGCAGTAAATTAGCAGTTATAAGGACTGCTGGGTACAAGGGGCTCTCCATTTTCTCACCATCTACTTAATCCTCAGTCAATGTTGAGATTACTGTTCGCTGAATCTCCATATTCAGAAAGAAAAAGGGGGTGAGAAAGATGTTGACACCCTCCCCGCAAGTTGCAGCTCAGTCAGTGTATGGATTTAGAGCAAGTAGCCCTCTACACATGCTCAGGAGTAAGGATTATTGAGCATACGTGTTGATGTTATTTGGGAGAAATCTTTTGATAGCTGAGTGGACAGTTTTCCTGGGTAATAATGCTAATACACAGGCAGGATAAGATAAAAGGCAAGTTTCTTCTCCCAGAGAGAGGTTATGCTAAGCTAGTGACAGTTCCCTTGTTGTTTAGTCATTTAGTCATGTCCGACTCTTCGTAACCGCTTGGACCAGAGCACGCCAGGCACTCCTGTCTTCCACTGCCTCCCGCAGTTTGGTCAAACTCATGCTGGTAGCTTCGAGAACACTGTCCAACCATCTCGTCCTCTGTCGTCCCCTTCTCCTTGTGTCCTCAATCTTTCCCAACATCAGGGTCTTTCCCAGGGAGTCTTCTCTTCTCATGAGGTGGCCAAAGTATTGGAGCCTCAGCTTCACGATCTGTCCTACAGTTCTCTACAGTTCCCTTGTAGAGCATCACTAAGAGGAATTTTTGACGAAGTTTCAGTCATACAAATACCAAAATGCTGCTGCTTCTTCTAGGGCAGGGTCAGCTGGGAATTATAGTGGCTGAGCAGAGAGTGAAGCCTGCCCCACTCAGGTCCGTTCATCAAGCCATGCCCCCTAAGGCCACCACAGGTACGTTCTTTTGAATCAGTGGGTTTGGTGGGAACACCTGAGCCTCCATGAGGGCTGAGGGGGACATGCTGTGCTCAAAATGGCGCAGCGTGTCAAAGCATCGAGGGAGGTGCTGCGTCAGGCCGCAACCACAGCTCACTGAGGAGGTACGGTAAGTGGCCATTCTTTCCCCCCTAATTATATTTTATTCAGTTTCAACATTTTTAACATATACAGAAAAAAAATTCAACTTTTATTTTTGTCAACTTCCACCCCTTTTTCCATCGAGTTGTTTCTTCTCCCCTTCTGCTGCACCCTATCTTCTCCTTCTCATTTGTTTCTTTCTTAGAACTGATGCTGTTTGTGAACAAAAGGCTTATTAACTATGTGTGGCCAAATCCACTTCTTTACATTATGCTACCCAACCCATGGTTTGGGGTTCACAGCAGCGAAAAGCCTTGTCCTTGATTGTAGTTTACTTTTTTCAAACCACCTCCTTCTTGATGGAAATGAATAAGAGGGTTCACGCAACTTAGTCTGACCCTTATGTTTCCCTCCCCTTATGGTTTTGATCTATGGGCTACTTTTAAAATAAGGCTGCATTTTAAATTGTATTTTAACCTGTATTTTAAATTGGTTCCCCTCCTATTATGTTTTTATTGTAATTTTACTGGTGTTGGCCACCCTGAGTCCAGCTCTGGCCGGGGAGGGTGGGGTCTAAATAAATTATTATTATTATTATTAAGATTATTTATAAATAAATAAATAAAAAGACTGGATTTGGGGGCTGTGCAATCAAGTCACATACCCTGCTGTTGTACCAGTAGTGACTTTCCCCTGATATCTGTGAGTTCTAGGTACATGATGATGGGAAAGTGTTGTAGCTCAGTGTTAAAACATCTGCTTCAATCTCTGACATCACCAGGCAAGACTAGGAAAGATTCCTTTTCTGAAACTGCTGCCAGTCAGTGAACTAGTTTGGGCCAGCAATGTAACATTTCTCCAGTGCTATTTTTCTAGGAAAAGAGGTCCTGGAACTCACCATAAAGGCCTCCCTTTTTCTCTTATAATGGCAATGGTGCCTACCTGAGAGGTGCCGGAACTTAGTTTCTGCAGATTCTGGCTGAAAGAAAGACCCTGGTTTCTCCTCATGTAGAACTCCCTGTTGGGCCAGTATCCCTCCTCCTTTAGAGGAGCACTACACACCCATTGCTTCAAGCATGGAACTCCTTCTGATGTGTGTTGAATGTGTAAGCATTAGGGGAGCATGGCAATGGTGTGTAGTCTCTGGTGTAGTCTGCACAGTTTCATCTGTGTGATGTCCCTGCCCTTGTGACTTGGTTTGCCAGAAAAGTTTCTCCTAAAGTGATTTTTTTTTTTTTTGAGGGGTGCAGAGCTGTTATTCCACTCACGAAAACATCTGGAGAATTTTGAGGGAAGCCAAAAAGAGTTTCGGTAATATTAGCATAAATTCGTCTGGGGAGTTCTGAACATCCACAGACATCTAATTCACATGGAATTCAAAGCAAATGTGGAAGTTCCTCTCCAGGCTAAGCACTTGAGGAATTCTGAGGGAAACCACAGAATCTTCAATTTGATGAGTGAAAGCTAAGCATGTTTCACACATCTCTAGCTATGATTGTATCATGTAAATCTCACATAAGAACACTTCAGATTATTTTCCTTTGAGTCCACAGTCACATGGATAAGAGAAACAGTACATCATGTGGGCCACTCCAACAATCCTAGGACTATGCATTGACTTCATTGAGATTAAGCAGGATGCTGTTCTTCGTTTGATATCTGACTAACCCTAACTTCAGATGGGCTAACAGCTAACATACAACCCTGAATGATTAAGTGGAGGCAACATAAAAGAGAGAAAGCTGTTTCTTCTTTAAGGAATTGTTGTTGTTGTTGTTTAGTCGTTTAGTTGTGTCCGACTCTTCGTGACCCCATGGACCAGAGCACGCCAGGCACTCCTGTCTTCCGCTGCCTCCCACAGTTTGGTCAGACTCATGTTTGTAGCTTCGAGAACACTGTCCAACCATCTCGTCCTCTGTTGTCCCCTTCTCCTTGTGCCCTCAATCTTTCCCAACATCAGGGTCTTTTCCAGGGAGTCTTCTCTTCTCATGAGGTGGCCAAAATATTTAAGGAATTAGGGCACAACAAATCAGACCAATTCCATAGTGGTTCAGGCACTGAACGTAGCAGTACCCGTTAACCCTCCTTGAATCTAGCAACATGGGCAATAGCCAGTATTAAATGCTAAGGTGATGCTCAGATAATTTTGTGATGTTCTTATGATGTTAAATTGATGCAACTTTTAGGATGCCTGAGCTATTATATGCTGGGGGGAGGGGATGCAGATCTGATATTGTGCATAGAGTACTGTGTGGATGATGGAGACTCCAGATTCAAATCCCTCAACTGGAAAAGTCACCTTATTTCAGGCTAATCTAACTCACAGAGCTGTAGTGAGGATAAATGCACAATTGACATCAACATCTAGGCAACCTAAGCATATTTCCAAGGTCTTAGTGACAGTCCAACTGGAATGCATTGTTTTGTACTACTTCCTGATGCCCATCTTCCCTCCTTTCTAAAACAGACAAGTCTATTTTTGATCTAGAGCATGTTTACTGACGTAACAGAATGACAGTGAGCCAAATCATGTATGCTAGAGTTGGAAGTTACTGGGGACAATCGACACCTGTTGTCCTCTTCTGCCATTTTAATTCAGTAGAATGGTCTACTCGGCTGCTAGGTTTACCACACCAGGTTTATGAGACTTTGTAAATCGAGATCCAGAAGCTGTCTGTTACTGGCAGGTTAGGTTCCTGGACTCTCCAGCTTCCAGAACAGAGCCTGGATAAATGAGTGAAGCTTCTAAAAGCTATAGGAATGATGGATAATAATATGCTGGTCACAGCAAGTATTGGGATCAAGCCGTTAATCAATTAAAAACCTACTAAGTATGGTTTTATGATTATGGGACATGCTCTTGTTAGTCATGCAAGAACAGCATGCGGCAATGTGTGTATTTTGTATTATATTCCTTAATAGAAAAAAATGTAATCCTTAGTGGACAGCTGGTTCCCCAGGATTCATTAATTCCACCTGATCCATCCTGGAGACATAGTCCTCCTTGTGACATAAAGGTTGTTTGCTGTAGAAAACATTATTTCACAATCCAAGGCTAATGACTTCAGGTGGGAGTAAAATCTGCAGTGACAGATACACTCAAACAA